CAATTATTGTTTAGTAGGTAAAGTAAGATTTGGTACACCAAAAGCTTTGTAGAATAAATTGCCTACATATTAAAGTGAAAAAACATGCATTGTTCGCTCAACTGTTTTGGGCCAAATCATTAACAGCTTTTCTGAATTGATAAAGACAGCGGTATATTTGACCTTGACAATGGTAAAGTAGGAGTGAACACAGCCTTATTTGCATATGTATAAAAGTTTGGAAGCCTGTAAACAATCTATTCCTCATTGGATACAATTTTACAATTGTCAAATCAATATACACCATTTTAGGTATTCTTTACCATTGAATTGCATTGCTAGAAACAAGTTAAATGAATTCATCATTCTTACACAACATAATAACAGTAATCAATTATTAACTCAGCAGGAATGCACATCGACATATTTAAAGCTGCTGCTTTGATAAGTAACTGCTGATCAAATCCATAACACGTAAGAATGGGCACGATATGCAGTGCTAGGAGGAATCCACCCACTGTGCTGTCTTGTTGAGTTTTGCAGTAAAATTAAAGAGCCTAACCATAGGTCAACACTTCCACTATTAATCATTGACGGTCATAATAATTCATATTGAACAGGTCTAGGGGGTGTCCTTGCTTTTACTGGCTACCCCTTCCTTTAATGTATTTTTAGATAAATGTCACCGTTTTAAAATAATACATAAAATGAAAAATACCCCAAAGAAATAAATGAATGTGAAGCCAGAGAATTTAAATGGTTTTGTTTGTTTTTCTCCACGCACGGAATCAATTTATAAACCGCGGGACCTGTTTAAAAAAAAAAAAAATCTATTGACTGAATATAAGAAAATAAATTAAAACTGCGGCTCTTAAAAGGCGCCTGTCCAATAATTCGATTTTTCTCCCTCCCTTCTCTCTTTTAAAGGCCGCGGCGACCTAATCAATTCTGCCCCCTGGGTCCTGATTACAGCTTTTTCTTAAGTGAAAAAAGCAGAATGATCCCAGCCCTCCCCCCCTTGTCCCTGAGAGCTCCAATCACTTGTCACAGCGAGGGACGCTGGTGTAGAGAGAAAAGAGAGGGACGCAAGCTGGGAAGCTAAAGAATGCACACTGATAATGTAATGGTGTGTGTTTGTGTATGTAGGGACAATTTTGAAACAGCTGATCATTTGAGGGCTGTGCAACCCAGGGTGACCATCTGGCTCTGCATAACCAGTGCGAGGCTTAGCCACTTCTAGTTTATATGCATCTACTTGCTCAAAAGATTCCATGAGCTACACAGAGAAGGATTTAAGGTGAGAGGTTTTCTGCCTCTCCCGCTGTATGCACTGTCCTCTAGCATCTTCTTTGATTTGATGAACCCCGAAATAATCACGGGGAAGTGTAAGAGGTATCGCCACATTTTCTGATTGTTTTCAGGGCCAGATTTTAATTATGCATGTTTTAATCCGCTTTATTTATTTCAGGTACTTATATAGCACCATCAATTTATGCAGCACTTTACATATATACAGTTGTGTTCAAAATAATAGCAGTGTGTTGAAAAACGTGAATAAAGCTCAAAATCCTTCTAATAGCTTTTATTTCCATACACACAAATGCATTGGGAACACTACACATTCTATTCCAAATCAAAACATGAAGAAAAATATATAAAATTTGTGTTGTTCCTCTAACAAAATTGAAGAAAAGTGAATATTAGACTGTTCAAAAAAATAGCAGTGTTTGTATTCTTCTTTACAAACTCAAACATTCACTATATAAACTGAAAAATGTTTGAAGATTTTGCTTTCCTTTGAATCACTTAATGAATATTTAGTTGTATAAGCACTGTTTCTGAGAACTGCTGTACATCTGTGTTGCATGGAGTCACCCAACTTCTGGCACCTGTGAACAGGTATTCCAGCCCAGGATGATTGGACTACATTCCACAGTTGCATTTGTGATGTCACCCCCACAAGTTTTTTTTATTGGATTAAGATCCGGGGATTGGGCTGGCCACTCCATAATGTCAATCTTGTTGGTCTGGAACCAAGATGTTGCACGTTTATTGGTGTGTTTGGGCTCGTTGTCTTGTTGGAACACCCATTTCAAGGGCATTTCCTCTTCAGCATAAGGCAGCATGACCTCTTCAAGTATTCTGATGTATTCAAACTGATCCATGATCCCTGGTATGCGATAAATAGGCCCAACACCGTAGTATGAGAAACATCCTCATATCATGATGCTTGCGCAACCATGCTTCACTGTCTTCACAGTGTACTTGGCTTGAATTCAGTGTTTGGGGGTCATCTGACAAACTGTCTCTGGCCACTAGACCCAAAAAGAACAATCTTACTTTCATCAGTCCACAAAATGTTGCGCCATTTCTCTTTAGGCCAGTCAATGTGCTCTTTGGCAATTTGTAACCTCTTCAGCACGTCTTTTTTTCAACAGTGGGACTTTGCTGGGGCTTCTTGCAGATAGCTTGGCTTCACATAGGCATCTTCTAATTGTAACAGTACTCACAGGTAACTTTAGACCTTCTTTCATCTTCCTGGAGCTGATTGTTGGCTGAGTCCTTGCCATTTTGGCTATTCTTCTATCCATTCGAATGGTAGTTTTTCACTTTCTTCCACGTCTTTCAGGTTTTGGTTGCCATTTTAAAGCATTTTAGCTGAGCAGCCTATCATTTTCTGCACTTCTTTATATGTTTTCCCTTCTCCAATCAACTTTTTAATCAAGGTACGCTGTCCTTCTGAACAATGTCTGGAACGACCCATTTTCCTCAGAATTTCAGAGAGAAATGCACAGTAACCAGCATGTACAACATTTTCTGCCTTCCCTTCTTTAAATAAGGGCAATAATTGCCACCTGTTTTTCAAAGAATGAATGACCTCACTAATAGAACTCCACAGTACTATTATTTTGAACATGCCCCTTTCAATTAGTGATTGAATTACACAGAATCAGCAGCATGCACGTCATGACTGTTGGGTCTGTCAGGGCTCCCGGGTATGACCAGAGGTTTGTGACTGACGCAGGGAAACGCAGACTTCAGATAAGTTATAAAAACAATTTATTAACACTAACAATACAAACATAAACGCAGTGCAATACTAAAACATAACACAGTGCAAACGAACCAAACCAACCACCCACAGATAACAGTACATACAATGCAAGTGTCGTCAGGCAGGCCGGGTCAATATCAATCGGGCAGGTAGGTACAGGGGGAGCAAGCGGAGAATAGTCAGGTCACGAGCAGGGTACAGCAACTAACAGGCAGGTAGGTACAGGGGGTCAGGCAGAGAATGGTCGGGGTCACAAGCCAGGGATCAGAACAGGAGAAGTCAGCAGAGGTCAGAATCAAGCCGGGTCAGCAACAAGACAGGAACAAGAACAGGAACAGGAGCAGGATGCAGGAACAAGATACAGGGCCCAGGAAAAACACAACACCAAGGCAGAGTCTGCAGGTCTGAATGTCCCTTAAATACACCAGTATAATTAGTTCCAGGTGTTTGACTGGCTGCAAGGTTGAGTCTCTGATTGCTGAGAGCACCCGCTGGCCAGCCCTGGTACTGCAGCTCACAAGGCAGGTGAGTCCCACTATTGCTGGCCAGTCCATTCCTGACAGTACCCCCTCCCTCAAGGAGCGGCCTCAGGACGCTCCAAACAGTCCTAGCTGGGCAAAATGTTCCACCGCCCGGGTCTGGTAACTGGCGGGATATCAAAGACTGGCACACCGGGCAGGACTCCGGGCAGCGGCACACCGGGCAGGACTCCGGGCAGAGGCACACCGGGCAGAGGCACACCGGGCAGAGGCACACCGCTGGACTCCGGGCAGAGGCACATCGGGCTGGACTCCGGGCAGAGGCACATCGGGCTGGACTCCGGGCAGAGGCACATCGGGCTGGACTCCGGGCAGAGGCACATCGGGCTGGACTCCGGGCAGAGGCACACCGGGCTGGACTCCGGGCAGAGGCACATCGGGCTGGACTCCGGGCAGAGGCACATCGGGCTGGACTCCGGGCAGAGGCACATCGGATTACCAGGTGAAGCAGCAGGCACCGGGCCCCCAGGCGGGGCGACAGGCATCGGGCGCCCAGGCGGGGCGACAGGCACCGGGCCCCCAGGCGGGGCGACAGGCACCGGGCCCCCCCGGGGCGACAGGCATCGGGCCCCCAGGCGGAGCGGCGGGCGCCAGGCCCCCCGGCGGGGCGACAGGCATCGGGCCCCCAAGCGGAGCGGCAGGCGCCGGGCCCCCAGGAGGGGCGACAGGCATCGGGCCCCCAGGCGGGACGACAGGCATCGGGCCCCCAGGAGGGGCGACAGGCATCGGCCCCCAGGAGGGGCGACAGGCATCGGGCCCCCAGGCGGGGCGACAGGCATTGGGCCCCCAGGCGGGGCGACAGGCATCGGGCCCCCAGGCGGAGCGGCGGGCGCCAGGCCCCCAGGCGGAGCAACAGGTCTCGGGCCCCCAGGCGGAGCGGCGGGTCTCGGGCCCCCAGGCGGAGCGGCGGGCGCCGGACCCCCAGGCGGAGCGACAGGTCTCAGGCTCCCAGGCGGAGCGACAGGTCTCAGGCCCCCAGGCGGAGCGACAGGTCTCAGGCCCCCAGGCGGAGCGACAGGTCTCAGGCTCCCAGGCGGAGCGACAGGTCTCAGGCTCCCAGGCGGAGCGACAGGTCTCAGGCCCCCAGGCGGAGCGGCGGAGCGGCGGGCGCCTGGACCCCCAGGCGGAGCGACAGGTCTCGGGCCCCCAGGCGGAGCGGCGGGCACCGAGTCACCAGGCACGACAGTGGGCACCGAGTCGTCTGGCAAGACTGCGGGCATCGAGTCAACTGGCGGAACTGCGGGCACCGAGTCGTCTGGCGGAACTGCGGGCACCGAGTCGTCTGGCAAGACTGCGGGCACCGAGTCGTCTGGCAAGACTGCGGGCACCGAGTCGTCTGGCCAGACTGCGGGCACCGAGTCGTCTGACGGAACAGCGGGCATCGAGTCAACTGGCGGAACTGCGGGCACCGAGTCGTCTGGCGGAACAGCGGGCATCGAGTCAACTGGCGGAACTGCGGGCACCGAGTCACCAGGTACGACAGCGGGCTCTGAGTCAATTGGCACGACAGCGGGCACCGGATCAGGTACCGGATCATCTGGATCAACAGCGGGCATCGAGTCAACTGGCCTAATAGGATCATCAGGCTGGATCAGTTCATTATGCTGGGTAGAAGCATCCGGCTGAGTAGAGGCATCCGGCTGAGTAGAGGCTTCAGGCTGAGTAGAGGCTTCAGGCTGAGTAGAGGCTTCAGGCTGAGTAGAGGCATCAGGCTGAGTACAGGCATCAGGCTGAAGAGAGGCATCAGGCTGAAGAGAGGCATCAGGCTGAACCACGGAAGGCAGGTTCTCAGACGGCATGCTCACCGGTTTGGATACTGGCAGGATGGTATTGGTTGGAAAGAATTTTCGCTTTTTTCTGGTTTTAACTACTGGGGCACTGCAAGTAAACGCAGGTCTGCAAATGAATGGAGCAGCTGGAGACAGAGAAGAACTGGAGGATGGAACAGGGGAAGGAACAGTCGCTACAGAGGGCTTTCTTACAGGGTAATGAATGTCAACTAGTGGATACCTGGAGAATAACGCATATGAAAGACAGAGACTATACCTTCTTCTCTAATGCACATGAGATATACTCGAGATTAGATTACATCTTAATAGACCATCAACTTATAGATCATCTGGTTAAAATTGACATAGAGACAAGGACGTTCTCGGATCATGCTCCGGTCATAATGAAAATGGGATGGGGAAGAAGGTGGACTGGAGGATTAGGGTGGAGGTTAAATGAGGTTCTTCTTCTGGATGAGGAGGTAGTTCAGAAAATCGAGAAAGAGATTAAGGTATACTTTAAGGAGAACGAAACAGAGGAAGTATCGATAGCTACAGTCTGGGAAAGCCATAAGGTATTCATAAGAGGAATCTTGATTGCGGCAGGAGCAAGGAAGAAAAAGGAAAGAAGAGAGAGGGTCAGTGGGCTATTAAAAGAAATATTGGACTTGGAGCAGATACATAAGAAGAAAATAACAAAAGATACGAGACAGAAGTTATTGGATAAAAAAGATGAACTAGAGAGGTTGATGGATGAGGAGAAGAGAAGAGTATACAACAGGGTTTTGAACGAGAGATATAGATGGGGAGACAGACCAGGAAGATATCTAATGAGAGCTTTGAATAAAAAGAAAAATAGGAACTATATAGAAAAGATAAAAAGCTCAAAGGGGGAGTTGGTCCACTCAAATAAAGAGATTATTAAAGTGTTTACGGAGTATTACAAAAAGTTATATATTATTAGTCCCCAAGGCCCTCTAAAAGAAACTCAAGAGGGAATTAATAAAAAAAAGATGACATACTTAAAAAATGCGGGATTACCAAAACTAAGTGAAGCACAGTTGAACTCCCTAGACGCAGAAATCTCCCAGGAAGAAATTAAAATAGCATTAAAAAGCACAGGGGAGGGGAAAAAAGCCCAGGCCCGGATGGTTATACAGTTAAGTACTATAAGAAATTTAGTGAAGTACTGTTACCCAAGCTGGAGAAATATATGAATGCTCTGGGAGGTGGGATGGAAGTGAGGAGAGAATCCCTACAGGCCCATGTAGTGCTTATTCATAAGGAGGGAAAAGATCCATCTCAGTGCTCCAGCTATAGACCTATCTCATTATTGAACACTGACACTAAACTGTATGCAAAGGTGTTAGCAAACAGGTTGAGGGATTTGATGCCTGAATGGATCCATGGAGATCAGGTGGGCTTTGTGCCGGGGAGAGAGGGTAGAGATAACGGCTTGAGAACCCTGATGCTTATTCAGAAAAGTAGAAAAGGGAAAGCCCCGGTGGTGCTCTTGTCAATTGATGCAGAGAAGGCATTTGATAGAGTGGACTGGGGCTTTATGATGGACAATTTAAAAGTGCTGGGGATAGGTGATAGAATGCGAGAGTGGATAAGTAAATTATATAGGGAGCCTACTGCAATCATCACGGTAAATGGGGAGAGATCAGAACCCATTGGAATGTCTAATGGTACAAGACAAGGCTGCCCACTGTCCCCCCTGCTATATGTATTGTCACTCGAACCTTTGTTGTCAATAATAAGAAATAGTGGATCGGTAAAGGGAATTCAGATAGAATCCATAGAACACAGAGTAGCGGCCTTTGCGGACGACTTATTGTTCTATGTGGGGAATCCCCGAATAACTCTCCCAAATATACAAAAAGAATTCCCCTTTATATGGAGAGAAAAAGAGATAAAATACCTAGGAATAAAAACTCACTGCCTCATCTAAGCATCTGTATAGATTAAACTATATCTCTTTGATAAATGAGATCAGGGAAGATTTAAAAAGATTAGAAGGAGGAAATCCATCCTGGATAGGACGTATAAACCTAGTCAAAATGGTAATTATGCCTAAAATACTGTATAGATTTCAAATGGTACCAATTAAAATCCCAGAAGCCTTCTTTAAGATAATGAAAAAAAATGTTAACAAGATACATATGGAAGAATAAAAAACCTAGAATGGGGCGCATGTGCGGCCAGGGATGATGGCAGGACGTGTTCTGCTGAGCTCCGCTCATCCCCGGCCAGGAGTGACTCACCCGCACCGCACTACAGCTGATCTTCTGCCTCGGGTGAGTCACGTATCACCCGAGCTACCCGGCCCAGCACCAGGGAGAGGCTTCTATGGGGAAGATAGGGCGCTGGAAGCCCCCCTCCCCGCAGCCTCAGGACCCGCGGCCCTCGCCACTGCCGCGCTTCCTCTATAGGCCGCAAATCCCCGGCCTCTAGTATAGACAGAGGTCCGAGGAACGATCCCGGACCTCTAGCGGGCCGCGGAGGGTACTGAACCCTGCCTAATTTCAGGACAGCTGCAAACCTCTGCTCTGATCCTTCCACAAATGGGGGATCACGACCCCCAATCGAAAGGCAGGAGGAGGCTATGGACAACCCTACTCCAGGGTATCTTCCTGCCCCTAGTCCTCAGCCGACAAAGTCGTCCCCCTCCGCTCACAATCTCCGCGTTAGACGACAAGCTGCAAATTTTTCTACGAAATATTACCGCTTCCATAGCCGCTGAAGTGGGAAAATTGGCTAATGAGCTCAGAGGGGAAATAGCCAGATTGGGGACCGCACGGATAAAATTGGAAAGTAAGTTTGGCGATTTGGTGCAATACGTTCACGTTTTGGAGGAAGACAACGCCTATCTGAAACATTCCATTTCCCAAATGCAACTCCAGCAGGAGGACCTGGAAAACACGGGGAACGGCGCCAAAATATCCGTATACGTGGTATGTGTCCGAAATCCGTTGCTGATGCCCAATTGCACCGCCATCTACTGTCCTTTTTCAATCGCTACTACTTGCCCCCATGGTTCAAGAAGCAGATTGGCGGATGGATAGGGCTCATCGCTCTCTGGGCCCTAAACCAATTGAGGGAACCAGTCCACGTGACGTTATAGTCCGCTTCCACTACTTTCAAAGTAAAGAAGCCTTACTTTCAGCAGCACGCCACAAATCTTCCTTGGAGTTTAAAGGTGATAAACTCCAACTCTTCTGTGATCTTTCTCCAATTACTCTTGCTAAGCGGCGTGCTTTGAAGCGATTACCACACATCTTCAGCATCATCGTGTCCTGTATCGTTGGGGGTTCCCCTTCAAGCTGGTGGTTGTTAGGGACAACACACCCATGTTGTTCTCCGAGATCTTCAAGAGGCGGAATCTTTCCTTAAGCAGTTGGGACTCCCACCTCTACTGGATGATATGCCCTCATCGCCGCCTACTCCATCCCGTCCTTATGCCACCCCTTCCAAGATATGGACACCGGTCCGCGCGGAGGTCGGAGGGAGACCCACACGCATACCGCAACGTCCACGCCCTCCCCCGATCAAGCGATCCTCCTGCCTGAGGATTTTCAGGAGGGGACCTTTTGTGGCGAATCTGGTGCTGTTTTGTTCGGCCATGGCCTTGCTGGGTGCATTTTATTTTATTTTTGTTTTTGTTTCTTCTGGCCGGGTTTGACGTCCTCCGGAAGTGTCGGATGTCGTGCTGCCCCCGATACTGTCTAGCCACTGGCCTAGACGACTTGGGCTTAGTTGACGTTCCCAAGTTTATATCCTCGCCGGATACCTGTTCTTCATTGTGTATTTTTTTCTGTTGTGTGTTTTTTGCATGTTTTATGTTTTCTGTTTTTTTTTTTCTTTTTACTACATCGATGGTACTTCATCCATTTGTCATGCTAATACATGTGGCCCAGTCACTGTTATTTTATAATGGCTTTGAAGTTTCTGTCATATAATGTTAAGGGCCTCAACTCTATTCAAAAAGGTGGATGGCTTTGAAGGAATTTCGAATCCTCAGGAGCAGACATCATTTTTTGTCCAAGAGACCCATTTCAAATCTACAGGCTCCTTTCGTTTTGCCTCGAGATTTTTTCCCCGAGCCTACTCGGCCTTTGACCCTTCTGGGAAAAGCCGGGGTGGCAATTTTGATTGGGTCACATTGCTCTCTTCGGGTTTGTTTCCTCCAAAGTTGACCGACAGGGTCGTTTCATTATTTTGGAGTGGTATGTTTGGTGAGACTACTCCCTAGTTCTGCCTGAATTTTATATGCCCCTAACACGGGTCAATTGCAGAGTTCCTATCCCAAAAACACTCGCCGAACTGGATTCCATTTCACTTCGCAGAGGTGATAGTTGGGGGAGATTTCAATCTGATTCTTTCCCCCATAAAGACAGGAAGGTTCTTTTTGAGTCCACTCCCTCGAAGCGGCAAATGCTCCTCTTCAAAATATTTTCGTAGATTCATTAGGGAGCATCGTCTCTTTGACGCATGGCGGATTAAACATCCTCTCCATAAACAATTCACTTTTTACTCTACTCCTCACCGTAGTTATTCTCGCCTAGACCATTTTTTCGTTTCTGCCCCATTGCTTCCACTTCTGGTTTCTTCTGATATTAATCCCATCACTTGGTCCGACCATGCCTCTTTGACTTTTAAACCTTTTTTTCCCCCCTGTTATATCCAAACCCTGTCATTGGCGCCTTAATGAGACCTTACTTTCCACAGACCATCTTAGAGATGAATTGTCGCAGGGACTTGATGCCTACTTCACCCACAATGTTGGCTCCGTAACCTCCTCCTCAACTCTATGGGAGGCCCATAAGGCGGTTTTTCGAGGGCTCTGTATTTCTATGGGTTCTCGTTTAAAAAAGGTCCTCGGCGAGTGCTAGGGCTTCCCTCATACAACAGCTATCTTGGGCGGAAGGACGGTTTATTGGCTAAGCCGTCTATTCCTGGGCTCCAGAGGGTAACTTCTCTACGGGATCAAGTTATAGCTCTTGACTTCCAGTAAAAATGCTCAATCCCTCCTTTCGGGGGTAAGCAGAAATTCTACCAATTTTCCAATAAGCCCCATCGTATGTTAGTCAATCGTCTCAAAGCTCAGTCCCCTTCTACGATGCCTGACCTACTAATACAGCCAGATGGAAGCCCCACTTATGACCCTCGGGGTTATAGCAACTCTTTTTGGCTCATTTTACGGGAAATTGTAAAACTGTTTAACCCCGGACCTGCATCCACCCCTCACCACACAGTCATTATTTGATAAT